TTCTTCCTCTCTCGTTCGATTTCCGTCCGCTCCTTCGTCTCCATTCGTCGTCTGCGCTCCTTCGTCTCCGTTCGTCGTCTCCTTCGTCTCGCCGACTAGAAAGTAGTTTTGTCTCACCATGATATATTTTTCATTCCAATATATCCTCCAAGTTTTTTTTATTTCAGATTGAACAATGTTGAAAACCCATTGTTTTTTTTGTACTATTAAACCCTTTCCATACACATATATATTCAATGGTTTTTTTTTCGATTTATGATTTTGTACAGTTTAACGCTCTATTTTTGTATGCACATAGATTTCAGTGGTGCAAAATGTGTAGGTGTGAATTAATGTATATATAGGGATATATCTTATAGTGAGTTTGATTCTATCGCTTTGCCATCAGTATATATGAGATATATCTTATAGTGTATACATTTACTTCCATCATATTTATAGAAATACAAATAATTGACATTGATATTAAATTATTCTCTATAAGTTTGAATAATACATAGTATGTAAGTTATAAAACAATATTAATAGGTATATAAATTATATTAACTGTATCCATAATAATATTTGAATTCTAAAGTCTTCACGGCATATACGTTATATCATAAAAATATACCAATGAGTACTTAATTGTTAATATTCTATAATAATACGTGATATGTAAATTATATCTCACTTAAAAGATGCATATACATAATGTTAATTACATCGTGAATAATAGTATATTTCAAAAGTACAAGTAGAATATATGTTATAATCTACATATAACATAAACATAAAAATGAAATAACGATTTACGGATTTAAATCTCTTATATTAAAAAAACAATAATAAATGTAAATGTAAATTGGTATGAAAATAAAATCCTACGTGCACAAATAAAATTGGAAAACTTTAGACATTTTGTAAATAAGTTTCTAAAACAGCCATTCGAAGACATTAACTCATTTAATTTTTACCCATAGTATTAAATCTATTTTATCTATGAATTTTACGTTGTACGAGGGATAAATTGACATTTCTATCGTATTATAAAAAAAATTGACAAAATATGAAAAATATCAGCAAAATGTCACTAATATATAATAATATTAATATTAATTATTTTAAACTTATTTAGGAATAGAAAAATGTTTAGTGGTTGATTTAAATATTTTTATGATTTTAAAAATTTTCTAACTTTTACAAAAATATTCATGGACATCGACATTTAAGACCTTTGTTTTTACCAAATAATATTCAAATAGAGATTTCAAATCCTACCGGAGTTGTGCTTTATTATTATTACCCAAGCTCGATTACCTTAAAGATATAAATAAGTCAAGTCAAGGGGCGACACTCTTCTTCGAAAAGAGGAACTGCTTATAATCCTCAACCGGAATTCCAAATCTTTGTCGAAATCCCGTTTCTCGAATATTTAAAAATCTCAGTCATTATAACTAAATTCAAACTAAATCTCAATACGTAGTAATATGATCTAAAAATGTTCATCGCTATAGAAATTGACCCATTAAAATGTTGCTTTAATAACCATAGTCAAACTTATAAATAATACTTTAAAATTATCCTCTCGACGCTCTTTTAATATTTAGCGATGGTAAGGACTTAATTGAAAACAATTAATTATATAATATTTAGTTAAGAAATTAGTTTTATTAAGTTGTTAATTAGTGTATTTATTAAGGTGTTTATGGTACACGAAAAATGGTTGAGAAGATGTTGCAAAGTCACTGTATGACCAATTTGAATAATGTTTAATGTGGTTTTCTCAATTTTTACATCGAACCACAATCCACTTGAGTCGGGTGACTTCACGCGATCACCTGGCCAAGTTGCAATTCATCTCATTTTACTTTATTGGGTTATGCATATATTTATTGACTTCTCATCTCAATTGGTCTGAGTTATGACCCACATGATAACTCACTTTTAGTTTCATCTTGGGTCAAGATGGCTCTTCTCACCTTGGACATTCAATTCCATTTGATCCTACTCACATAATGTATTTGAATTATTTTTAATTGTAAAATCTTTACAATTTAGTCTCTATCGACAAAAATTTAGATTTAGATGAAGAAAAACGAAGCTATCAAGCAAAGTGATACTAAGTTCTACCAATTTATTAGAAATTTGAAGAAGGAATTTAAAATTTTTCCCATTTAGATGACATTTTTTTTGTTTTAAATTTTGCAAATTCATTAAATATTATATCGTGATCAACTAATTATCAAAATTGAAAACGGAGAAATACAAGGGATTAATTTAAACTTTTTGAAATAATAGTAACTAAAAGTAAAAAAATATATATTACACATTAGAGATTAAAACTAGGTTAAAAAGCACATTTGGTCCTTTGACTAAAGTAACGATATAATCCCTAAATTTTAGTTTGTAACGATTTAATCTTTATATTTTCATTAAAGCAACGATTTATTCCATAAACTTTAGTTTGTAACGATTTAGTCCCCGTTGTTTAAATTTTGTAACAATTTAATCCTTATCATGAAAAATATTACTAAAATTAAGTGTCAAGTTTTATCCTATAATAATTTAATCTTTCTAATTTATAAACATCTTTGATCATTCATTGGTTTATCAATCAATAAATATAAGAAACTTAACAAACAAAAAATTCAGAGATTAAAGATGTTTATAAATTAAATCGTTACAAATTAAAATTCAGAGATTAAAGAGTTACTTTAACAAAAGTAGGTTGTTTTTTATCCTTAAAACTAATATATATTTGGCTTAAATATTTGAAGAGATTTAGTGTTTGGGTTAAAAAGTTGGAAAGAAACGTGACAAACGCTGTCGTTTAAGGAGTGAAGCCAAGAAGCAATGATAAGGCAACGGGCGTATCGAAATCCAAACTCAAAACTGCGGCTCACCTTACACTGCACCGCGTTCCTTCCGGAAACTTTTTCAACGCCACCGAGTACAATCTACAAGAAACATCCCAACAACACTTTCCATAATTTTCAATCTACTTTCATGAATTCTGAACATTTCAAATTAAATCTAGACCATAATTTTGATGAACCCGAAATTATTTTGAATAAGAGATTATAAAAAAAAAAAAAGAAAGAAAGAAATTTCTTTGGTCTCACATTGACGGAAAACATCTCGTTATAAATTAAGAACCAAAATAACTTTTTTACAATCCCAATGTAAATAGTAAAAGACTTAGAGAAACTTGGTTTAAACTATAGCGTGGTCATATCTATCTAAGATTTAATATTCCAGGAATTTTCTTGATAGTTAAATGTTGTAGGATTAGACGATTGTTCCATAAGATTAGTCCAAGTATGCGAACCATAGCTAAAAAGTAAAAATTAAAATTCTTCGAAGCTATTTCTTGTATTGCTTAATCTTTTCTCATCTTGTTAGACTCTAGGTTAATTAATTAGGTGGCTTCCCATCTTGAACACAACTATTCTAGAACTTGTGCGACCTCATTTGGGTCATGCTTACAGAGGTTCTACATAGATTATTTATTATTTTTAATAAATATTGGAGTTGGAGGATAGAAATCGACACGACACGTGAACAAATTAGATCAACTCACGAAGATTAGTTGAACTTACTTTGTCTAAAAGGTAAGGTCAAAAGACCGACCCTGAAAAGGCCTAGAAGATCACCTAGCGACTCTCCTTTGTGCCTATTTGAGTTGAAGGAATCTCAATCTATAACGGCCTAACCTCCTATCGAAATGGTAATAACAAACTTATCACATACTCCACCTATAACGACAGACACCACTTCAACAATTCAGGTACGTAATTATATTTGAGGCTGACTAATTATATTTGAGGCTGACTAACAGTTCTCCTACCTGCACTGACTTGAGGTTCAGAGTATTTTGTTACGTTCTTTCTGTGTAGATCTCTCCTTGTGTAGCTCGCTCATCGATAGTTCATTCTAGTTTATTGGAAGCTGAATTCTTAATCTCAATATAATTCAGTATCAACAATAAATAATAGCAATAAGAAAAAAATTCAATTGTTTTTCTCCAAAATATGTCCAGTTGCATCAATTATTCACCCTAACGTTGACCCTCCACTTAAATATTTTGTTGCAATATTTGCTTGAAAAGCATTATTTGTTGTTTGAAAATAACATGGAAGAAATGGTCACTGTTCATTTGACGAGTCCAGACAAATTAAAAAATAAAAAAAATTGATGATAAGACAAAAGGCGTATCAAAACCGAATTTCAAACCGCGGCGGAATCTGACTTGGACCGGACCGCGTACAAGAAACCTCCGAGAAAAAACCCATTCTCACTCTTCACTCCCCCATTTTTTGACCAACCAATCATAACCCGCCCTCTCTCTCTCTTACGTCACAGGTGTTTTTCTTAATTTAATTAATTAAATCCCAAATCCATTTTTTATTCTTTATTTAAGCACGGGCCAAATATGAAACCGTGTTCCCTAATCCTTTATTTACTAATTACGAATTAGTCCAAACTAATCCAATTAAATTGACCACGTGTTCTTTTTCCCTGTACACGTGGCCCAATGGGGTAGCTCGGTTTCGGATATAGTATATAGTAGTATTATATAGTGTTCCTGCTTCTGCTCGTGGGGTTGTTTATAAAGAATTAATGGATTTTTTTATCATATTTTGATGCACTATCATACAATTTTCTTATAAAAAAATTCAATAGCTTCCGAAAAATTCTTTCCCTGAACTTAAAAAAATAGTTGAAAGAATTTTTCCCTATGGACTGGTAATTTGATTTAATTTGATTTACCAGCTCAGAGATTGACCACCAGATAAATCCATTATCCAGCTCTGGATGTCATCGTCCTCGAACGTCGTCGTTTTCGGCAATTCGTCGTCGTTTTGGATCTCCATTTTCGAGGGGAACGAGAATTCGTTGTTGCTGCTGCTGATCTTCGGAGCTTCATTTCCGTACAAATTATTAGTTGACTGCCGGTTCTGATCTGGAGTGGCAGTGGCAGCGGCGGCGGTGGCGGCGGTTGTAACCGCGGCCGCCGGAGAGAAATTTGGGAGATTGAATGTTAGGGAGTTATCGGGGAATGGGAAATTGAGCTTCGCACGTGGGCCGCGGAATCTAATAGCGGCTTCGTCGTACGCACGTGCGGCGTCCTCAGCGGTGTTGAAAGTACCGAGCCAGACCCGGGTCGCCTGTTTCGGGTCACGGATCTCGGCGGCCCATTTCCCCCACGGCCGCTGCCGCACGCCTCTGTAATTCTTCTTCAACCGCTTCGCCTTCCGGCCGCCGCCGCCGACGCCCAATTTCTTGCGATCGTCGGACTGGGACGAGGGCGGGAAGAAATTACAGCCGAGGCACCCTTTAATTCTGCAGACGTGACACGTGTCGAAATCAGAAAGGGGGAGGACGGCGTCGTTTAAGGAAGTGGAGGCGGAATCCGAGAGGGAGGAGATTGGGGAGAGGAGGTGGAGGAAATGGTCGGGGCGGAATTGGAGGCCTTTGGCGACGGCGCCGGAGACAACTTTGGTGAGGGCGTCGACGATGACGGAAACCTCCTGCTCCTCCGAGATCCGGCGGAAGGGGGGGCGGTCGGAGGTCATTTGCATGCCGGTGGAGAGAGAGAGGAATTTTTTTTTTCTTTTTGTTTTTGGTTTTTTAAATTCTGTTGGTGAGAGTGGTGGGGGAGTGAGAAAGCGAGTTTTTATATAGAAGGGGAAGGGGTGACGTGGCAGACAGCTGGTACGCCGTTGGGACACGGAGGGGAAGTGGGGGCACGTGAGAATTGGATGACAAAAGTGAGATATGAGATGACGGAATCGGACGGAAGGGGATTTTGTCGTCCACGGTAAACAGCTGGCGGAGACGGAGCTCTCTCGCTTTCTTAAAACAGTACTTTTTTTTTTTTTTTGATATACTCTTTTTCATTTCTCTAATTTTGTAAATAATTCTTTTAATTTTGCGTTTATGTAGTATTTGAGTTTTTTTTTTAATATTACAATTTGAATTATGAGTTGGGAACCAATTAAACTCCGACTCAGGGATATTATATATTTAGGATTATTACGAGCTTTCAAAAGATAATTAAGAATTAGGGATTGTGCAATTTTTTAAAGTCCCATGTAAGATTTAAGAGATCAATTTCATTTTTTTTTTGACATAGCGTCGATGGATTCCTCATTCAAGCTGCTACACAGCTTGTTAGAGGCACTAAGAACGCTTCATGTATAATTTTGGTTGTCCTAAGTTATTATATAATTCACAGTACATCATAATCTCTCCTAATGTTTAGTATTTCTAATGATATACAACTACCTAACTACCTTCTTTTTAGCAGTTCAATCACTCAATCAAACGGTCTTATTAGAAGTTGGATACACACACCATCATTCCCAGCGATCCAACATACTCTTAATTTTAATTTATAATTAAATACTCCATTCTTAGAGGTGGAGATATGTCTTTTTTGAACTATATGTACCTTTCGTACTTATATTCCATTCCTAATTCCTTATTGTTACAAGATCCCCGAGAATATGACATTAGGATCCCAACTCCAATAAATCATATATTTTTTCTTATTACTTAAAAAAAAAGTAAGGATACTTATCTTCTCCCCAACTTGAAATAATCTATTTTTTCTTCTCTTCCCTTGAAATCCACTTCCAGTCTTAAAAAAAATGATTGAATAACACTACCACAATATAACCTCTCTCGAATAATCACAAGCGAACTCAAAAATCTTCATACTCCTAATATAAATACCCATCTATAAACTTTTCCGTTAAAAAGAAAAATGAAAATGTGACATGGCAGTGAGACGTTGTAAAACTACAAATGAGGTACTACTTTTTATAAGTAGTTTCAATTATGCCCTTAAACTTTAGGATAAGTTTCAATTATATTTCAAAAGTTTCACTTTAACCCAATTTAATTAACCCTTACCACTGTTTCAAAACAATCATTCCACTAACTTTCTCATTAAAATGAAGACGAAAACAATCATTCCACTAACTTTCTCATTAAAATGAAGACGAAAATTTAACGTGTCAATGAGTTGTAAAATGGAAGTTACAACGTGTGTACAAATCGTAGTCAAAGGGTTTTAGCCACGTTTAAAACGGTGTAGATTAAGGAGGGAAGTAGATTTAGGGGTCTAAAATTTAAGTCAGGTTCTTTAAAAGGGAGAAGCTAGCTACACATTATTATGAGAAAAATTATGGACTAGTAAAAACTACGAAAAAAATGACCACATAATGGTAAAGTTGAAGGAGGGCGTAGGGTCTAAAAAAAAGCTTTACGAGATGAATATGTTCTTGAGAGAGAAATTGTGGAAGATTGAGGTCTGTGGAAAGAATAGGTTGAAAGCTAGGAAAAAAAAAGGTTGACTAGCGGAGGAAGATGATTTTCATCTTTAAATTAAAGGTAAAAAATTTAATTAACGAGCAACTCGTGTGTGGTCTATAGCTGGTTCGATTATCTTGGGGTTTCTTTGTTAGCCCTAGGGAGGCCTTCGATTCTGTTCGTTGTTCGTGGTTTGTTGGTCCCTTCGAAAATTTTGTTTCCTCTTAAATCTTTTGATATTTTATCCTTTTAACCTCAAAATTATTTCTCCAAATGACATCATTTTTAATATAACTTAAAACTCTTTTTTTTTATAGCTCACTACTAGGTCAAATTTTCATTTTTTTTTATTTTCAAAAAAAAAAGAAAAGAGAAAAATGCTTACAAAAAGTTGTTTTTGAAAATTTTTAAAAGTTAAAGAGTTAAAATGAGAATTTTACATTATAGGAGTATAATTGAAACTTAATTCAATGTCTAAGGGTATAACTGAAACCAACTTAATCCAAAGTATCATTTGACAACCAAATTTAAGGCATCGTCAAAAGTCCGGTCGCTAAAACTTTAATTTCTTATAAAGTATGCTCACATATACCTTTCTTTTGACAACCCAATAGCCCAATTCATTTTGACATCAAATTTTTATTATTTTAACAGAAATTTAGATGAAATTACAATATGTTTTTAAACAATTTGAAAGATTGAAAGTAGAATTAGAACTTCTAAAATTCAAAGAGATATTTAGTATGATTTAATCTATCTATTTATTAGTTGTTCTACTTTTAATATATAATCATTGCTTTTCACCATTATCTTATCATTAATTATATGACAGCCACACAACCCATAAAAGACAGGACAGTAAAGGTTGCCCACCTCAATAAAATAAAATTAAAACTTTTTCCTCTCAACAATCAATGCAAAAGTCGGTATAGCTTAATGGTAATTAACATATATCTCCAACTAAGAAAAGCTTAATGGTAAATAACATATATCTCCAACTAAGAAATTTGTGTGTTTGATTTCTACGTCACATATTATTCTAAAAAAAAGAAACAAAGAAAAATAGCCCAAGTCAGCGTGAAGTACATCCTGCAAAGAGCCAAATATTGCCAATTAAATGATTGATGTAAATGCCTAGTTCTATCATTAAAGACAAATCCACTCAAAAGTATAAACAAATTAGTTTACATATTCCTTTTTATTATCTTACACTCGTTTTTTAACGAGCATATCTCAACGGTAAATGACATATATCTCCAATTAAGAGGTTGCGAGTTCGATCCCCACCTCCACATATTGTACTTTAAAAAAAATTATTATCTTACACACGCTCATATAACCTATAAACATAGTTCAACAATAAATACCATATTTTATAGGGGAAAGAAATAAATCGACTCGAACCTGTCTATGAACGATCCATCCGCAGCAACCCTCTAGATATTATACTATTCTTCCTATTTATCTAAGTAATACCACTCCAACTAACTGAGATTTTTTGGTTTTCTTTTATTTTTTATTTTTGGTTTAATTTTGGCAATGGAGAGGGAAACACCCTTTTCGTGGGATTTTGTTTTCTCCCTCCTCTATTTTTTGTATGAAGAAGAAATTAAATTGCTGTTAAAGAAAAAATAACTAAAGTTACAAGAAGAAATAAGAGAATATGGATTTTGGAATTATGGTTTAAATGTGGTGGTTTCATGAGAAAGAGGAAACAAAAACTCTAGGGTCAAAAGATAAATGAAGGCGGAGAAGAAAGGAAGAGATGTGAGGGATTTAAAATAAATAAATAAACTAAATTCAAATCGGGTTGAGTCGAGTTTGTCCCAAAAATTTTCAAATCAGTTTGGTTCTGACCCGAACCGATTATACCCTAGTTCTTTCTTTTGGGATCGAGATTGAAACTTCATAGGCTATATTTGTTTATTATTATCATAAAATTGATAAATGGATGAGCCGTCCAACCAAGAAAATTATTCGCTTAAACAACTAATTATTTAACACAACCCAATCATATATAAAGTATTTGAGCTGGGTTGATTCGGATTATTCGGATCACTCATTCAAAGTATTGTATGAAAAAAATAAGAGTAAATGATAATATCTTAAACATTTATTTGTATATCGTCCGACACTCAATCAAAATTCATAAGTCAATTTTTTTTATATGGACATGAAAAGATACACTCAAAAAACTTAAAAAATTGTTAAAAAAAGTTCTTGCAGAATAAATAATCCATAAAAATTTTTGGATGAAATAAAATTAAAATAAATATAACTATATATAATAATTTTTATGGTGAGTATAAAACATAGTTCTAAAATGAATATTAAATCCAGGTTGATTTGGCTTAACTGAAATTTATTTTAGGCGACCTTTTGAATTAACTGCAAACTAATAAAATTTTGATTTATTTGAACCCAACCTAACTCAAACAAATTTATAACCCAAACTAAAATTCGAGTTGAATGAATTGTTTTTTTAGGAAACTACATAGGTGGGCATCGATTAAGACATATTAAATGGTTAAATAATAACAAAATCAAAATGATTATTTTTTTTTTCAAAGTTAAACATTACCGTAGAAAATTCAAATGTCAAAAACTAAAATAAAATAAAATAAAATAATTGAAGACGAGGACCAGATGAAATTTATAAAAAGAGAGAAGAAAAAAACTAATTGCTACAACCATGACAATATTTTAACATTGTTGCTTCAAATAATAATTTAGGACACACTTAAAAAAAATTAACGTGATAAGCAATAAATATATATATGTGATATAAAATTATTTTGAAATTAGGCTCATGCCAAACGAGTTTTGCAAGCCAAACAAACCCTTGCATTCTTTTAATCAGTTGTATATTCTTAACTCTTAAGACCATTTTAATAATCTTCTCAAAAAAAAAAAAAAGACCGTATTAATAAAAGTACAAATTGATAATTAATTAATTAATTAATTAAGGTAAATAATAAATAAATATATATATGTATGACGGCGGAGGACGGCTGACTTCCGGCAAGGGCTCGACAGGTCAAATCGGAATGTCCGAAGCGATATGACTTTTTTAATATTAAAAAAAAGATTCTCTGTTTGAATTTGAAAAAGTCAACGCTTTTGAGACATAAAATAAAAAAATAATAAAAATATTCTTTGGTGACAACTGTCTTTTGACCTGGTATACGCCTCTTTTTCCTCTCTCTTTCTTTTATTTTTTAATTTACAAATTTAGTTGGTAAAATTTAAATGGGCTAAATTTGTAATGTTTGGGTATCTCTTTAATATCCTCGTTGATGTTGTAGAAGGTCTAATTTCATTTTATTATATATTGAATTTTTCAATTAAATTGTTACCGTTACTAAATATTAAAATAATGAGGACATATCGATTAAAAAATAGTTATTTTCTCGGGAGTTCCTCTATTGTTTGGTATACCAACATTTTAATGGTTCAATTTCCTATCAGAATGAACCACTTTTGGCGAGGGTCAAGTCACTTACTATGTAATAATCATGTCAAATGAGTAGATAGAGAAATTAGTGGAAATAATCTATACTATATATAAAAGACACCATATCGAGATACTATTTTACCCCGAACATTCTCTCTATTACTTTGAGAGTAAGTTTGTTATTCATCTCTCCCTTTCTCTCTCCAAACCCATTTAAATTCCACCAATTTTCTCTCCCCCTCTCCACTCCATCACTTTTAATTTCAAAATATTTTCTTTCCACATTTATAAATTTCACTTTTTTCAAATAATATTATCTTCCTAAACAACTTCATTTATCTCTTGGAGTCATTTTATTATTTTTCTTTCTCGTTCACTTTTAGATTTTTTTTTCTTCCACTCATCCAAATTCCTTACTCAAAGGATCGTTTATTTAAATTTATTTGAAAATTGTAAAGATGGAGAGATAGTATTTGAAAAGAGAGAAAAGAATTAGAGAAGATTAGAGGGATGGGAAATTGAGAGAGAAAAAATTTGTAAACATTGAGAGATAGTATTTAGAAAGAGAGATAAAATTAGAGAAATTAAAAGAGATAAACTGTATTTCGATGACAAAACTGCTCTTGAACTAATAGTAATAAAATTATAAATTCCACCTACATCGCACGTGTTGCTCACTAATAAGTAAAAACAGGAGTAGTTAACAAAGAAGAAATGGGGGAGATAATTGTAATGCTCCTAGAAAGACATATTTCAAATATATAGAAGTGAAAGTTCTCAACAATCAACGAGTTGATCATATCCTTCTTTGAGTCGTACGAGCGTGTCCTCTATTACCTCCACCTCGCATACGGCTCTTTACCCCAACCTAACTAGCTCTGGCTCCAAGTCTTCTCTTTCTATTCTTCGATAAGCGAATCAAAAGGGTGATATCTACTCATCTCTCCTTAGCTTCTATTACTTAACCAAACTTGAAAAAAGAAAAGAAAAACACAATAGAAAAAAAAAAGTGATTCTCACCTATATATATAATTTGGCCTTAATTTGGCTGTCTGCTACGTTATTTTTGTTATTATTTTTTTAAAAACTATTATTTAAAAAAAAATCCAATTATATCCTTGAGTCTCTTTGAAACGTTGTAACTAAACTTAACTATCGAAAGAATTATAAGCTCAAATAAAAAACTTGGTTGTGTGATTCAATGATTGTAATTTGTAAATAGCAGGTAAAGTTGGCAAGAACTTATTGAATCCATCGTTTGGGCTCATAATAAATTAAAAGTTGCTCCTGTTACTCAATCTAGAGCCTTGAGTATTGCCCAAGGACGTGTTGAAGGAGTAACCCATTACCTTATAGGTGGAATTGCCACAACATGTACGTTCTTCTTAGCAAGAATTATTATAGTCGGATAATGGCTAGGAGGATTTGAAAGGTATTATGGCACTAAGATTTTCAAGGTTTAGCCAAGGCTTAGCTCAGGACCCCACTACTCGTCGTATTTGGTTTGGTAATGCTACCGCGCATGACTTCGAAAGTCATGATGATATTACTGAAGAACGTCTTTATCAGAATATTTTTGCTTCTCATTTCTAGTAATACGTAAAGTTCATACCTCTTCTATTTACAATTCAACACATCATTAAATAATATATTATTTGCTTCATGGACTCATGCTATTCATAAATGGTCATGATTTTACAATCATTAAGTGCAGAACAATATGGAAAAGTTGATTAAATATATGTTTTAGTCACTAGAATTTAGATATATTTTTAACTTGATTTCTATCATTCAGGATGTTTCAATTTAATTATTTATGTCTTAACCTTTTTCAATTATATGACATAATACTCAGTGATTTGAGAGAAATTTAGAATAAGGAACTAAGAGAGAAGTTTTTAATTCTTCCTCTAAATACTAAGAAATTGCCTGATATAAATTTTGAATTTTATTCTCTGATCAATTAATAACTTTTTTTCCTCATCTAAATTTCTACTAATTTATCGAGTATTATGTCATATAAGTTTGTCATAAATTAATTTTAACATTTGTCGATGGTGAAGAAAAAAAACTCTTGAAACTTAAGAACTAAGATGTATATTTAACATCGAACCATGAAGAAACAATAGARCTTGCAAAACATAGGTGAGCACTCTGAAGAGTAAGTCAATCACATTTTGATTTATTTAGTCTCAAGTTAAACAATTGATTTTCCGTACCTACATAAGAAGTGAGATTTAGTATTTATAGGTGCTCAGAGATAGAAACTGCTACTCGACCACTTCGCACATTGCGTAAATATGAGCATGAAAATGCAGCAATCTCGATAAGTGGAGAATTGAGCAGTTATACAGTAGTTGACTGATAAATTTCAAAATGATTGGACTATTTAGCCGAGGTCGGATTGGACATGTCCGAGTCGGACCCTCGCAATCTTTATTGTGACACGTGGCATGTCGTGAATCATCCAACCAAAAGAAAAGGTTGCAAATGTATTTGGGAAGGGCACATGGGAAATGGTAAAAGTGAAAAAAGAGCGTGGGATCCGTGTACGTTGTGAAATTGAGATGGAGCCGCAGCCGCCCACAGATAATGTGACTCGTTCTTAAAGTTTCCATTTTTGTCATTTTTTATGTAATGTTATGCGCCAAAAGTTACCAAATCTTCTGTTTTCAGACATACCAAAACCAAAGCCAAACACTTTCACTTTCAGAAATTTCATTGCACCAACTCTACTTATAACTCCCTGACGAGCATAATTGATCTAAGACATTACATACCTAGAGGTTTGAATCGAACTCAAAAACAAAGAAATAAAAGAAAAAAATCCCCCTAAACATAGGTATTGACTTTAAAGGCTGGTAAGTTCAACCCTTATACAACCACCTTAATTCTTCTTGTAACTCAATGAATTTTAAAGTTAGATTACATTTAGTCGCTATATTTTAAAAATTTCTAATAAATTTCAAACTTTCAAATTGTATCTAAATAGTCTTTGTATTCTTAAAGTTTTCAGACAAGTCTTTAGACTTTCGCTTTTGTATTAAATAAGTCTTTGTAATTAAGTCTATAGTTTAACATTTACATGACATGCTGATTTTATTTATTTATTTTAATGTAATGTGTGAAAGTGGGAGATCGAACTCACACTCTCATGACCTCATGTCAATTACCACTGAACTATTGATGACCTTATTTTTAAAGATTACTTAGCAAATTAATTTCAGACATTTTGCAGCATTAACATTAGATTGATGCAAAGCTCAAGAGTCCATTAAACCATTTTTACAATATAACTAAATAGATACAATCTTAAAATTTTACGGCAACAAAAAATATTATTTGATTACAACTTATAGGCAGAGTTCTCATGGATGATGTGATAAACCCAGCTGGGAGGACAAGCTTGCAATGGGGATTTTTCTATGATCACATCGTATTGGGTTAGAGCCAAATTAAAGAAGATAACTTTTCTGGAATTTTCCAAAAACTCCGATCGTAGAATCATGAGTTCAAATCCACAATCCCATATATATTGTACCAAAAAAACCTTTTAACTTTTTTTAAATTTAATTTCAAGTTGCCTTATTTATCTCTACATGAGAAATGAGAACAGCAGATAACAGATATTGTTTTGGCTCTCCAGAATCAAATACTAACACAGTACTATTTTCAACACAACCCAACAATAAGACACAGATTCTCAGGTTATTTTGAAGCGTTGGTCATTTATGTTCTAGTTCAGAGTAATGATGGTAAAACAAACTCTAAATTCTAGTTCTATATAGTCTTTATTGTTAAAATCATTGACTGAATAATGAAGTGGTAGGCTCATTGGATATGTTAATATTATTTGGCACGACTTAATGGGGCAAACGACAGAAGAAAGCAAACCGACGAACAAAATATGGATTACAAAAAGACTAAATTTATAATTTAACCAACAAACTAAATGACTCTAAACTGACACCTCCTGACGAGCTAAGCAGTAGTGTTCCTCCATCCTAAATAAAAATAGAATATCAGTCATAGTTACAAGCTCAAACATGCCTATAAGTTTAAAGAAACAGGTAAAAAATGAAACTCAAAATTGACTAATAGTAATTCTTTGCCCTCAAGAACAAGTAATTTAACTAGCTTATAGACGAAAAAGATTTATCATACATTCAGTTTCTCTTTTGTAGATTTATCTAACAAATTTGCAGTACAAACAAGATGTTCATTATGAACTATGAAGGCACCTTCTTTAACTGTTCAGAAGAATATTATATTCATCAGAAATCTTAGCCTAATGCTTATTGCAAAACCTCAAAAATCTCCTAAGAAACCAAAGAGCAAAAAGTGCTACACAATGCAACAGACTTTCTGTTTTCATTTTCTAACCTCTCGTGTTTTCTTCGCCACTCCCCCCACCCTCTACTCAACCCCACAGAAGAGGATCTTAAACAGAGGAGCATCTAGGGAAACAAGTATGCACCAATCTCCTATTTATAGGCCAAATATATTGAGAATTGATACGCTCAATGGCCGTACATCTGTATCCCTAACCACTAATAATGGAAGCAAAGTGAGAAAATGAAAGAAACATTTTTAACCTGTTGGACCAATGTAGACGAGCAATACAAAAGTAATTACCCCACAGCTATCAATATCATCACTAATGAGAGCAAAAAATACCCTTCAACAGATCTTTCATCTAGTCGTCATCCTCTGAATCTGTAAAGGAAATACAAGAGAGACATTTCAGTATCAATCAAAATCATGGTATTAAATATCCATTGACACGCCGACATGTCCATCAACATTTCTATGTATCCACGGTTTTGACATCGACATTTCCATCATATTACAAAAAAAATAGACAAAATATGAAAAATATCAACAAAATGCCACTAAATCATTTATGAAGAATGAAATTAGAAAAAATAACGCAATAGATCAATAACTTGTAGAAAATTATCCTACATAAATCTTAGGCTCTCATAAAGGACTTGGTGGAGGGTTCTCTCTCTCTTATTTGATCAATAATAAAAATGGAAGTGCATCAGTAAAGTTACATACCAGATCTTATATCTTCTCCAACTTTTCCCCTATTTTTCAGCTGTCTACTGATCATAGAGCATATGAGTAACCACCAGTATATGTGGAACACAAGCAACATCAACAACATCGTGTTGAAACCATAGTATATGAGTCTGGAATTCGCGTCTGATAGCTTCAAGTACTCACAGAGATCATAGCTGGGAAGCATCAATCAGAAAATCAGATAGGCAAAGTAGCAAATATTGAGCCAAATCTTCAAAGATAAATCAATCAAACACCAGGAGCAAAAACCTTGTTGCTCTTATAACCCAAAACGGGAAGAATATAAGCCGCAATATGAGCCATGAAATGGCAAAAAATCCAAAGAAAACGCTCGCTCCAAGTTCTTTCTCAGAATATTTAAAAACCTTAGCAGCTTCCATGAAGACATCACTTGCATCATGTAGTGCAAGAATAACCGATCCAATCTGGAAAAATCTGCAGAACCGAGTACGAAAATCCTGATTTAAAATGTTAAGTATTACATTACATATTGTAATCAGTGTACACTTCCATCATAAGAAATGCTGAGTAACAAAGAATAATCGAGCAGTTTTTGGTTTTACGAAAAAGGAGCAAGAAGACCAGAACAGCTTTAAAACAGAATCTTACCGTTCAACTCATCTAGACCTACTGAGGTTGAATTTTCACCCATGAATGCACAAATAAAAACGTATGCAAATATGTGCATAACTTTCACAGATAGTTATCAAAACATAACCATAATTAAAGAATAATGTATTAAAATTAATAAGAAGTCTAAGATATAATACGTGCTTACAAAAATAAAGCCTAACTGATAATTACAAAACAGTTTAGTAACCAACGCCCAAAAAGAGGTGTTAAACCAAACAACTTCCCAAACCTCTTCCCGAGACCTCTTCACCCCTCTAAAATCTCTACTATTCCTCTCAAGCCAAAACGCCCCACAAAATAGTAAAAAAAAAAAAAACATGTTTGTCTGTCAAAGCACTCTACCCTTATCTCCAATCGGAGGAAAATGGAGATCCTCCTATATCATAGAACAACCATCCCTATTACAAGCCCCAGAAAACCCCAAATACCGAGCGAAAAATGATTCCATAAGGCCTGAGCAAATGGACACTCCCACAGAATATAATGACGATCCTCCAATGTGAGTTTGCACAAAATGCACCATTGCGGGCCCAACACAAAAAGGAAATGCCTCTTAATACTATATAAGGTGTTAATCCTCTCGCCTTCCTTGGGATTTTAACCTTCCAAAGGGAGGAAGGATATCATGAGGGGACAAAGGGGCGCATAAAGCACCCTATGCCATAAGCTAAGATTCTAAGACCCAAGCAAAAGGGTGTGGACCATAGTTACTCACAATGATCTTATGCAACTAATAGAATAGGGTTTTATTATGAATTCTTAGGTTACTAATGCCCAAACCCCCTGATGCCAAAGGGTGTGAAACGATCTGCCACCTAATCAAATGGGAACCCCAATTCATCCACTCCTTCCCATAAAAAAGCCCTCATGATTTTGACTTTTGCTCCCCAAAGTAGGAATTTGAATCAGAGAAAGGAAGTAGGTCGAATCCCACTTAGGACAGATACTAGATGAGGGTTAGTATTCCCCCTTTAGAAAAGAAAGCTATTTTTCAAGAAAAAAGACACTCATGGTCCTTTTCCATAACTGGGTTTCAAAACGCCACTCTCCTAGGATTGCTACCCAAGGGAAATGAAGGAAGATTACTAACTTCACATCCCACCAAAGAAGCCCAATATTCTAGCTTTGCAAAATTGCAATTAACCCCAAAATCGAACTTTTTAAGGTATTGATCTTAAGACCAAAAATATTCTCCAAGAAGTACAAAAGGCCATTAAGATTAAGTGATTAACGAATCACCTTTCCTGGCTAGAACAAAAGAAAAGAGTGTCATCCACAAACTGGAGGTGCGAAAGATGGATGTTATTCATACCCACCCTAAACCCCTTAATAACACCCTTCTCCACTCTAGTTGAGACTAATATGCTAAGGATATCACCTTACCTAAGGCCTCTAGGAGCATAGATCTTACTCGTTGGTCTTCCATTGACAAGAAGAGAATAGTTGACCATCCTTGTACAACTCCACATCCAAGCCCGAACCCTAATCCTTTCTTCCAAAGCACCTTATCTAGAAAGTCTCCGTCCACATGATCCTATGCTTTTTCAAATCAATCTTGAAGATCACCCCATCCTGTTTCCTTTCTCTATAATCCTAGATTGCTCCATTAGCTTGTATCAACACTTGGTCCAAATTTTGTCTTCCCTCAATAAATGCTCCTTGAGAGTTAGAGATCATGTTAGGGTGGACTTTCCTCAATCACCCAACCAATGTTTTAGCAATGAACTTGAAAATATTCATAACCAAACTAATTAGCATAAAACCCCGGACATTTTTAGCATTCTCCTTTCTAGGGATAACTGGATAAGACAAACATATGACAAGTTCATGGAAGTGTCGATAACTCCTCTCTCATAAAATTCGCTGAAGGCTTTCTAAACCTGGAAATCCAAACCTTCCAGGAGGGCCTAGGAAACGAGGGGAGCGTAATACAAAGAGACTATCACCTATTCAATCTCCTTATCCTCTCTCACCATATCCCCATATTGTCATTGACTCATTTTCTAGGTAATCAATGTAACTCTTATTTTTCCTCCCTCTTATGTAATTATGAAAAAGAGAAGAGTTGAAATCTCCCTCCTTCGCCCAACTAATCTTAGCTTTCTTCTCTAGCTAGCATCCTCCTTCCAAATAAGTACCTCAAAATTCCCTTTCACGATAAACCTCCTTCTTCATCCTGATCATATAAAGACTTGATCCTCCTCCAAAATTTCAAGTTTCTGAATCCTAATGTCTTCAAAGACCATTTTGTTCCAATCCCTCAAACTGACTTTCAAACCACCGAGTGTCCTCATGAATGGAAATCTTCCCATTTACCAACAACCCTAGAACCCCAACAAACAAAATAAAGGATTTAAAGGACAAGTGAGTGAGCCACATATTTTTAAACCTAAAGGGGCAAGGACCCCACTTAATGAGACCAAAATCCAAACAAACAAGGCAGTGATCATAAGTAAACCTAGGGCCTAAAGACAGTCTAGTATTGCGAAATAAAATGGCTCACCCCCTGAGATAAACCTATCCAATTCACAACCAACCATACTATTAGACCAGGTATATCTTCAGTTAGCATGAGGAGGATCAATAAGCTTGCACCCCAATAAGAGAGTATAATTTTCTCATAAACTTTGTAATTCTACCTCCATTAGACTTCTCAAAGGAAAATTGATGCTATTGAAGTCCCCTGCCAAGCACCAACATTCGTTGCAGATCCCGAACAAACTACCCAACTCCTCCCAGAAAGATTTCTTGAAATAATGAGTAGGGGGCCTAAACTCTTGTGACCTAACTCACCCCCACTCTAGGGAACTCAAAAGCCATCGATATGGAAAAGGCTCCTCTCAACACATTTGAGGACTTAACTACCATCCTAAATGATGAGGATGCCTCCCAAGGCTCCCACTAACTCGAGCCTGATCCACTCCACATTACAACCCTTCTAAATACTCTTTAACAAAATCCCAACAATAACTTTCCCGATTTGACTCCATAAGAATAGCTAGTTCAGGACATTCTAAGAGTAATAGCTCCTTAACTAACCTTCTTTAATCTCTTCCGACCACCCCTGCACATTCCAAGAAACTACTTTCATCGAATCAACTTAGAGCCCCTTGTTTCCGAAGAAGCCCTTGTCCCCTCGTAATCGATTGAACACTCCAAATTTCGAAGGTTTACACTAGCTAAGACGGTACACCACGAGAAGTTCCTCAAAAGATAATTCCAAAAGGCAAGGTGACTAACCCGAAACATTAGTGATGTCCTTTGTGACTAAAGACTTGACCCTCCCTAAAGCAACTGCTACACGAGACAAGTATAACACCAAAGTAAAACAAATCCTCCTACCCTATTCAAACAGACTCAATTGAAGAGACAACACATGTAGCCCCTAGAATGCTACAATTCAGGAAAAATGGAAAAGTCACTAAACAATGTCCCCATCCCATGGTACAAGGTAAAAGATCCAGGGGTGAAAGGAAAGGGGCAATGCTGCAGACAAACCCGAAGAAGAAAAACCTATAAAGGGAAAAGGGGATGGAAGTTCAGAAGGAGGAATGGAAGACGCAAGATCCGAAGAACACAAAGAGAAGAAGGAAGAATTAATCATTCATGATACCAAAAACCACCATGGTTGTTGACACCTATATCGTCCTTGATAATGGGCTATAACGGGCTTACCATCACAAATCCAGAGAAAAGGAACAAGAATCCTTTTATCAAAATTTTAGAGGAAACATTAAAGCCCTTTGTCTACCTTTTAAAGAGAAACTTGGAGAACCTTATTTCTTTGTGAGGGCATGTCTTGTTGGATCCAGGGGAGAGATCATCAGGTTTGGGTCCTTCATCCTTCTAAGGGGCTTTCTTGCAACTCTTATTTTCATCTTCTGTGTGATCCTTCCCCCTCTAGTTGCCCTTCGTTCTCCTTGCTATGGAAGGTCAAAATTCCAAGATCAAATTCTTTAGTTGGCAAGTTTTACTTGGGAGGGTGAACACCCTAGACTAAATTACGAGACATTCTTCTAATGTGGTGGGGCCATAGTGGCACTGTCTTTGCAGGAGAACGACTGAGGATTTGGACCATCCCCTTTGGGGTTGTCAGTTTTCTTGCTCTGTTTGGGATAGCTTCTTCCAGGCATTTGGTGTTTACTTGGCCCGGACGTTCTTATGTTTCCTCCATTGTTAGATAAGGCCCAAAACGGCAGAATTTTGTGGCATGTTGGTTTCTTGGCAGTCCCGTGGGGCTTTTGGGTAGAGAAGAATAAGAGAATATTTTATGGCTGTGGAGAGATCTCGGAAAGATGTGTGCTCTTTAGCAAGGTTTAAAGCCCCCACATGGGTGTAGATCTCTAATGAATTTTATAATTATCAATTAGGTCTCATTATTTTGGATTTGAGCCTAATTTTGTAGAGTTAGTTGTGGGGCTCCCTGGTTTTGGGCTAGTTTTTTTTTTTTTTTTTTCTTTTCTTTTCTTTTGTTAGCCCCATGACTTGTTCTTTTGTTCTCTTTCATTCTTTTCTCAATGAAAACTTAGTTTCTCATTTAAATTATGAAAATAAATAAATAACTACGACGGCATAAATTTCAAACAATTTTTGTTTCTCTTTTTAAAAATGACATACATTTAAACTTGAATAGAAATGTCTTGTCTCCTTGTTTTCATGTCATGCTCTAATTTTATACTTCGTGAGTATTATCCAAAAAACTAGGTCAAAAAGCACATTTCAATCTTTCAATAACAGCCCTTGAACTAGTCAATCTGAGCCTAGCTCAATTAGTTAAGGCATGCATCATCGACCAAAATGTCGTGTGTTCGAACTCCCACCCCCACATGTTGTTGTACTAAAAAAATAATAACAACACGTGAACTTGATTCTTTCTTATAGCCTACAACAATTACAACTTTGATCTATTCTTTATCAAAAGTTACAAGGTCTTAAGACTAGTGGCCAATTTTCTCCAGAAAAAGACCAGAAACAATATTCTTATTATAAAAAAATAAAAAAGAAAAAAAGAAAGAAAGAAATAATGAAGAATACCTTGTAAGATATGAGTATCCGATCAAGATAACCGTAATTACATGATGAGACATCATGACAGAGAAATCCTTTCTTCGAGTCTCCCATATAAGAAGTGCAGCAATGCTATATAAGTAGAACCCACATTGGCACATATAAAACAACTTGAGAGGAAGTCTGCAACAAGACGTGGAAGGGGTCAGTTCATATACAACTAAACATTTAAAATTCATTTGAATGAATACCTTAAGAGTAATAATATTATGAAGTAAAATTTTCAACTTCTTACTTTTAAAGACACCATAGTAAGGAAGAAGAATAATGGAGGAAATAGCCCCAATGGACTAATGAAAGAAGGAAGTAAGTCTAACTAAAATATTGTGGAAAATTAATCAAGATAGATGAGGACCCACTTCAAGAATTTCTATCAACACAGCCAGTTAGATTCGCTAATCAACCAAAAGGTTCGTCAATTAAATTAACATTCAAAGCATGTAAACCACTCACTGCAACTTCTGATTTGGCCAGCCTCTGAAGTATTGATTTGAATCTCTAAACCATGGTTCATTATATGCAATTTTTAGAATGCATATTTCAACGGTACCATAGTAAGCTAGTTTCCACATTGATTCTGAACATTTTACAATTTTTGACTGTGTAGCCTCGTCAAGTTTAAGTGGAGCAGCTCCTTTGCTCAATAGCCAAATTGCAAACCTCTGAAAACAGAACGAGTTGAATCACATTATTGGTTCCCCCTTATCAACAAGAAACAGAGAAATTTATAACAATACAAAATAATCAAGTAGAAGAGTAATAAGTAATTAAATTATGAAGTCCAGAGGATTATCAAAAAGTTCTTCCCATTGGCACTTGCAGTTAGAAAATAATTTAGCAAAGGAGCTTTGAAGAGAAGCTCTATAGTGTGCAATAGTTTTTCCAATTACAGTTTTACCTTTAACTGAGTATTTCACGTTTTGGCCAAAAAAAAATGTTATGCAGTGAACAGTGTGAATTTTAAAAGTGAACCAAAAAGATTTGCATTTGTCCAAACATAATACTAACTGAATGAAAACTAGAATTGCTTCTTTAGCTCGTTCACAGTTGTAATACTACGTTCGTTCTTCTTATCATTTGAGTGCATCCTGGTAGTATGGTGCATACCACAAAGCTTCACTTTGATAAAGACAATTAACAATTCAAGATGCTGACATCTCAAACATTAATTTGGGATAATAGAGTGTGTGCTCTGCATTCTTCCAGTATCTTTACCTGCCAACCTTCTCAATTAACCTCCTCTTCTCCGTCAAATATCTTGATATATTTCCCTAGTTAGAGAGTGAAATTTCTGTAAGAGGTGGGAGAATCGACAGTTTGCACACTACCAAGAGCTCAACCTCAACCCTCCTTTTTAGACCCAGTTGCATTCCCTATAAGGAGGCCACCAAGAATTGGAATAACTTATTTTGATGTTGCCCTTTTAACCCAATACTTGGGCTAAATTGTAGTTCTAGTGAAATGTGGCAGAAATTCCTAGTAAACCCCACTTTTTATAGAATATTTCTCTGGCAAGCGAGTTCCCCGACTATTTTAAGGCGTAGCTTAAAAATGATTTGGATGTTCTTTAGAGGACGAGTCATGGTGGGAGGAGGTCCGGAGCAACCACTTCAATGTTTCACTTTGGCTACTTTTGTGATGCCTCTTTTCTGTTCGTCCATTGCCCTAGAATTGGATGCCATCTGAAAGTTGGCCAGCAAAACAAAGGCAGAATTTCTAAAGGTCTTGAGCTCTTGCTTCGATGAAAAAATATCATCATGGAAACCAACTGAACTTCTTGCTTCATAAATATGTTAACATCCACGTGTTTTCATCGAAAATTATTGAAACAACAAATCCTGGAACCTATTATGTAGAAGAGAATATTTCACGTCTGATCAAGTCACCGAGCTTCTCCTATTGAGTCCAGTACAAAAAAAGTATTAAAATTCAGAATAGCCGGGCTTCTCCTTATCTTCTTCTGAGAGAAAAGATTGAGTACGACGTTCTTAATGTATAAATTATATTATTAGAAAAGAAATGTAAGCATAACTTTTCCGTCTCTTCTTCAATTCCTCATATTTTCCGCCATTGCATAACAGCTACCAAAAATTCATTCAGGTGAACAACAGACCTGAATACGTAAATTGCAACATAAACGCAGATAACTTTCCTATAACGAATGATCGAAATCTATAACTAAATCACCGGCACACCAAAGAGAAGCAACAGAGGAACAAATTTGCAGTAAAGAAGCGTCGGAAAAGCAGAACGCAAATGTAATTTCAGATAGAAGAAAGAAAAGAAAACTCACACGAAAAATGAATCTGTCGAGTAAGAACCGCGCGGCATAGAAGCCGAAGGCGAACTGGACGGCGATGACGAAATGCAAAGCGTCTGGCACGCTACTGTGGCTCCATATCGGGTCCATTGGAGAGAATTTAAAGGAGAAGCATGAAACCGAAGAAACAATGCTGAAACAACCTAAAATCAAAGCACCGGAATCGGCGAGGAGAGCGTAGAAAAAGCTTGCTCCGTGGAGATCTAAGTTTTGCCCTAAAATTTGCAGAGACGAGAGGGAGGAGTGATAGTGGAAGCCAGAGAAATTCAGAGAGGGAAGGAGGAAGAGAATAAGCAGGAAGTGGAGGTTGAGATCTCGTTGTGCCTTTCTTTTTTTTTCCTTTTTCTTTTTTCTCTTTTTTTTTTATTTTCCTGGGAATGGTGCGCGATTGGGGATCAGATTATTTTCCTGTGCCACCGGCTCGGCTCGGTTGGGAAGTTGAGTTTTCTAAGGAGTAAAGCGGCTAAGATTGCGGCTGAGCGGCTCCGTAAGTTGAGGAATGCGACGTGGCAATTGTTCAGATATTGTGGCCAAATTTAATGAATGAGGGCCTGTCAATATTTGGAATTATAATGAAGGGGCAACATCAAAATGGATCAAATTATTTCATGGACATGAATATTAAATATTTAGAAGTTAAGTATCCAATATTTCATTTTTTTTTTAATACACTACCTTTTTGTCAAATAAATGACTTTATCAATTGAGCTAGTTCATGTTGACAAATTAAATAGCTAATATTTAAATATGAATAATAAATATTGGTGTTTAGATATGTATGATAATTAATATCTTGAACTTAACTAGACCATTTTTATTGCTAAGCAATAAAGAGGAAAAAAATGAGAGAAATATATAAATGATATTAATCAATTAAATTATATTCAAATTATATGACCTAAAATCACAAGAAAATAAAAACTCAATTTCTTCAATTTTAATTATTTATTTTCTAGTTAAGATAGTTATTTTTTCTTTTTTAGTACAAAAGCTGGAGGTAGAAGGTTACAATTTTTTTGAACTAAGCTCATGTTGACAGTTGTTTTTACATTTGGTATAAAAGATATTGTCAACAGAATGTAATTTTATTTTATCCAATTAATTAATTCATAAAATCATTATTGGATCATTTTTATAATGACTTAATAAAAATCTAAACCACACTTTACAAATCTCATTCTTGCATAACTAAATTCAATTATTCTACTCTCAACCTTTATGTTCCGTTAATTTATGTGGTTTGGACCTTATGAATTTGTTCTCTCTATAATTTTTAATCTCTGTGACTTGGTTTAAACCTTCCAAATTATTCTTAAATTATTTTTACTTGTGTAAAAGTTCACATCTTTTTTCCTAATTTCTACAAAAATTAAGGAAGTCTCTAACAAATAGACAGCAAAATGATTTTAAAAAATCTACTTTTAATTAAAAAAAAAAGTTGCAAAAATATAATAGTTTTGAAACTATTTGTGATGAAAATGATAATCCATAAACTATTAATAAAATTGCAGTAGCTTTTTTCTACGTAGGAATTGTCTATTTAATTAGAGTCTGAATTCTTTTACCACATGTAACATCAAAAGATGATTTTTTCGATTTCTAGTGATAAATATTGATTAGAAAAAACTAATCGGACCACTTTTTTTAAAATGAAACAATCTTGTCTTAAACGACATGATTTTATTTAATAATTAACCTCGCCTGTCCCACCTATCAACCTACTTGAGATTTAAGTCATAAAAACACAAATTCTAAATACCAGCCAAACATGAGCATATTAGCGTCCAAAACATCTGACACAATTGTAACGCTTCAGGTTTAGGATTTGGAATTCGGATTTGCTCTAATCGCCCTGGTATTTCCTTGCGACCCAGCTACGCCACTGTCTAGTTCTGAGCTACTTAGAAGAGCGTCTACAGACCAACACGTGTTTCATCCAACTGAAGATTGTTCTAAGTCAAGCACACTTGGAGTTTTTACGATTGAATTACCGAAAAGGAATATGCACTTTGTTAGTATAGATAGTAATTATCAATTCTTTTAAGACTTTCTCGATATTCTTCCATTATCTCAAGATCTCTCTCATGTGGTATTGGTTCACTCATATACTCCCTCCCATCTACTCAAGCGTTATACACATTCTTTAGAGGTTGAAGGTTAAATACTTCATCTCCACATTTATTTTACTTGAAAAAAATTTCAAATATATTCAAACTAAATATTTTTAAAACAGTACCATTTTTTAAATTATTTAAAATATAATTAATTGTCGTATAAATACTTAATTGTAGTTTGGTTTTCATTGTTATTTGTCAATACTTCCACAGAAAAAAGAGTGAAAAAAAAAAGTGTGCGTCGCATATTTAATAGGATAATGGTGTGTAGAAATATAGACAACTTATAATCTAACCCAAGAAATAGCTTATTAAATAAGCTCTCTTGTGAAATTATGGAATAAAATGAGGCACCACGAGTTACGAACAACGAGGAAATACGAGATTTAAACAAAATATAAAATTAAATCCTAAATTTAGAATTTTGAAAATTAAAAATACAATTTCATAAATTCAACGTGAATTTCCACCAAAATCCACTAAATTTTTTCATTACTAATTTATCCATGAATTGCCATAATTTGTACGAGGTGTTACATTTGGACACTAATAATAGGTAAAAAAAACACATGCGTTATTGATAATTAAGCACATGGATAAGGATAAACTTGACACTTGGAGACACTAAGAAAATGAAAGAAATTGACACATTGTTAGTGTTATTTAGACCTCTCATATTTTGACACCTAAGGTTGGACATCTAATTTTGGATAATGTTCATAATAAGCTCTACTTTTATCTTTGAAATTGGGTTCAAATTTCTATATCTCATATTTGTTATACTAAAAAAATGTATGTATGTGTATATATACCTACACACTATAATATCAAATCGAAATTTTTAAAATCGTATAGACTTATCTAAAACTATACCAACTTAATTGAAATTAAATCCAAACTCTATCGTATAAATTCGTGATTTAACCAAGAAAAAGAAAGGGAAAAAAAAGTGTATGTATTCAAAAGAATAGGCAACTCTTCTCGTTTGAATTTGAAATCATAGTCCATGTTTATTACAAATCATTGTTGGGTCTTTTTTCTTTTTAATGTGTGATGGTTAACCTGCCTCTCAAGATCGTAACTGTGATATCATATTAATGTTCATGGAATTTCATCTTAAAATTAATTAATACAGAGAGGAGTAGCCATGCCCTCCGTCTCGGTATTGTATTGGGAAATCTGTGGGTGAAAAAGGCATTGCCACGACTCACAAGTGGCGGGTGGTATTTAATGCGAGAGATGATTTGGCCACCACCGTTACTGCTGCGAAATCAGCTCACAAAGCTGCTTTGAATCTGGTCCTCTGAATCAAAAATATACACATTTTGGTGTTGTTTGGATATGGGAGATGACGAGGGAGGATCTACTTTACAAAGTACTTAAATATTAAAGTTCCCAAAAAAGATCTCGAAATATTCGTTGGTGCCCGATTTCAGTCGGCTGACGTGGTTGTCGGAATGTGCAATGTTGGAGCTTATGTGTGACCTGTTAAAGACCGAATTCAATATCTATGTGGTGCTCTGTCTAGTTAGTCGATGAATTAAGAGGGGAGCGAGTACGTTGAACAAGATGTTTGCGTAGTTTTTAGAAGGATTTGACTCTTCATTTTGTATGGGAGTCTTTTGGGATGACATGTCATAGAAGATTCAAGTCGTACTGTCAGAGAATTACCACTAGTGATAGAGATATGGTGAACGAAATTATATTTTCACCGTTCTGTCACACTAAGATCGCACTCCTGCCGAATATTAGTTATGATCTCACCAAGTTTGTCTTTATCCAAGAGGAATGGACGAGCAGCTCATCTTTATGACGAGTGAACTTTCCCCCTCGAGCTATCAGATTGACACTCGTGCCCTCAACCCACGCATCTCGAGAGGATTCGTCTACATGTAATATCTTATGGGTGGAGATTGATCCTTTGACTTCTTGATCGAGATCGTGATATTGTTTTTAAGCAGTTGAGTAATATTTATGTCAAAAAGAAATATTAATGATATATTATGAGTGGAAGTTTGGAGAATAACAAGTAAATAACTTAGTTGGATGCTTCACTCCCTCCCTTACCAAGTAATCAATACTTATCAAGTGGTTAATAAAGGTTCGGAATCAATTATCAAACCCATTATAGGATAATACTAGGAATTCATTTGGCCTATGATTAAGTACAATACTGCACAGAAGGAGATCCACCACACATGACATTGCTAGGTGAAATTAGGTAACAAATTATTATTTTGAGAGCTAGTTAATCAAATTGAGAGACCAAAAAGCTACTTATGAGTTATGTCAGCACTTGCAGTAAAGGCGAGCAAACCAACCTAAAGTCCAGCCTACCAAAAGCGGACCAAATAAAGCCTCTAACCTGAGTTCAAATGACTCGATAAGCTGAAAAAACTAAACAAGCTCTAGACACTTAGGGCCCCATTCTGTTTCTTTATTTTTGTGAAGAAAAACGTATTGCATAACTCCAACCTCCAAGAATTCAAGTATGAAGGCAAACCATGGAAATATCTCTTTATCAACGAAAAATAGACACTATGTAACTTTATTGCACTGAAAAAAACTATGYTATGGACCTCCCCTTTTGAGGGGATTATCTTGGCGAAATGATTAATATTTGGTCTATTCTTTTAGTAATAATGGTACAATTCTATTCTATTCATAGGAACAAAAAGAAGCAGATCTATTTTATACTCGATAAGTACCAATACGCAATGGTGGATGAGAATTGATCTTATTTTATAATAATGAATGTATACATATATGCTTAAATTTCTTAAGAAAATTGGAAATGAAAAATAAGAAACGCGAATGTTATCGAATGGGCCACTAGAGATTTAAATAAAGTCATCCACCGCAATTTTCCTTATTTTATAAGTATCTTCTATTTAGCCCGTACTGTTGTAATGTTATCAACAAGCCCAACCCATCCAACACTATTCCCTTTGTACATACATATATATAATATATATATATATATATATACATGCACCTATCACCTCACTAATGACCCTTCTCCCTCGCCAAAGTCTCTACCACTAACTACTATCTTCCCTATTAGTCAGGTATCATCAATACCATAGCCCAATGATCGAAACACAACTCAACTCAAATTTATATGGGTTGAATCGATCGAGGTGGATTAGAATATACATTCGGATTGTTTGGGTCCTTGACTCGTAATTTCAATCGTTCAATCTAACCAAATTCATAAACGTCAGCCTTAAGCCAATCAAAAGAGAGACAAGTTTAAGAGGTCCAATACAATATGGGACCAGTGTGGTCACATCAATCAATCATCCACTAGTCAATTTATTATTGCAACATATCACGCTTGACTACAAATTGACAATGTTAGATTATTGTCAAGTCAAAATAGGCCCTAACGAATCAACTTGAAGTGATTATATTGGTGTAAAGAGGACTTACTTGATAGTATATATCTAAAAACACACTCCACAATGTTACTACCTCGTATGTATCTATAGTCAAATTATAAATTAGAGACTCGGCTAACTGGAGGTGTAGCCAGGGAATGAAAGATACACCTAATAGCGTACACATTACTCTCTGACATTAGATTATCTAATATTGCTATTTGATACGTCTAGTTAGACCAAACACCTTTGATAATCTTGTGATAGACACACATGATCAATTTGTCTTATGTCACATCTAACCTTGTCCCCACATCACCTACAAATTTGACCGGTAATGATTTTACATTTTTCATCTATTATAAATTGAGAGAGGACGACGAAGGACCATTAGCTACCACGATGAAACTCTATTTTACACAACCATACATGTGTCCAGCAACTCATATCTTGCAAGCGCTTTATAATCATGTCCCTCTCCTTTATCTCTCCAACATTATTGTCATCTCTAATTGGCATTGGCATTGGCATGCATTTTGTTGGTGAAGTCAATATCTCAACCAAATTAACTTTATCTATTTCATAAAAACATAAAAGAAAATTATGTCTTATTTACCTGATAAAATACTTAGGTACGGATAGATGAAAACTTATCTTTATGCTGACCATCATTAAAAAATTGACAGTTGTCAAATATTTAATAACCGCAAGCAAAAATCAAGACCTAAGAATTTTTCCGACATAAAAATCAACCTGCAAGGTTTTTTCAATGAATGTGCGACCACGGGGAAGTATTTTATCAAATGGGATACTGACACGTGGCACTTCCGTGACCATAAGAAGGGGGACCCATTTGAGATATCCTCAGGCAGAAGTCCACGTCAGAAAAGGTGTCCTTTTGCCCAGGGTCTTAAGCAAATGGGACTCCACTTTTACGATAGGTTGCTCTCCAAAACCACTCCCATTTCCCAATAATCTTTTAAGAAAAAGATCTGGAGAATAAAATAATTTTAAATTACACCCATTACACCTTTTTACTTTTCCTATATTTCCGTTCGAAAGGTTGTGATTTCGAATTTTCTCACCCTCATTTGTTGTACTAAAGAAGAATTATATCGTAAACATCATAGGTTATAACGCTTGCATAATACACTGGTTGCATTATTTAAAGATAACATGACAGCTTGATTCATGAGTAAGTTAAATGTTTAGTCGCGTAGATTTAAAATATCAAAGTTAGAAAAATGATATAGAGCTAACATCACGAATTTAAAAATCCAGAGATATTAGAAAATATTTTAAGTATAAAATTTAATAGACACAACACTCTAAAATTTTATGGTTCAATTTTCCATTTAATTTTTTCTTTTAGATCTATTATTTTCCAAATTACAGAAATGAAAAGATATCAATTAATAGTAATTAATTGAAATTTTTATTAAATTTGTTTAAAAACTGATATTATACTCATAAAAAATGAGAATTCGGCTAGTTTTGTAGTGACAGTAGAATCAAGTTATCTCTTATCATTAACCTTATGAACATAACTAAAGTGAATAAAGCATCTAAATACCACCTTAAAACTAGTTTATGACTTGATCCAATAGAATAAGAACACCTTTTAAGATAAAAGAAAATGGTGCTGCATTTTTTAAAATGTAGTCTCTTCTAATCGAACCTCAACAGTTAAAATGTTAACCATCTTTCTTATAAATTGAGGGTTTAAATTAAGGAGGAGATTCGAATTCACAATCTCTTGGTTGGAGGTACAGGCCAATTACCACTGAACTAGGCTCGCTTTGACTATCACCTCCACATTTGTAATAATGCTATCTTTTTTTGATATATTTGATATAAATTGAGGGTTTAAATTGTACTTTCTTATAATTTGATATATTTCTTATAATTTGATATATTTATAATGTGAGTTATCAAAGTATAGCTCAACTAATTAATATATATATCATTGATAAAAAATTCGAAAGTTTAATCTTCACAATTACATGTTGTTAAACTAAAAAATAAGAAAGTAATTGAGTACTGATATTTTCTATTTATTAAAAACCACATGATCATTAATTTAACCACATGCATTGTAGTTTCTTTGAATTTTATTTTATAGTTTCTATGTTTGTAGACATTATATTGAATACAACTCTTATAGTCCTTTAGTGGACTTATGTTAATAATCTCTCACCATAATATACGATGTTTTTTTAGTTTAACGAGGTGAGAATTCAAATTTTTCAACACTTTGATTTTTAATATATATGTTTTAATAATTGAACTATTTTCAAGTTGACATACTATAATGTTAATTTTGTTATATAATTTACAAGTTTAATTATAAACATGTCTGTGACCAAATTCTATTAAAAAAACAACTTTCTTTTCATATATAACAATTTCATACTTTTATCACAATAGGATAACATTATTTTATTTGGATACATAGATTATTAGAAACTTTATCTTTTGTTCCATTTCATTAGCTTCATTCAATACATCTTTCGGTTCAGAGAATGCAATAAATACCGAGCCAACGAGTACTCCCACCAGAAAGATCAGACGATAGATCAAATAGAAACCCCCTTCCTTTTCCAATACTCGAAATAAAATCAATACAAGCATTGATAGAGAAGACCCATGTGATGAAAAGCAAAAGGAAAAAAGAAATAATATAAAAAAACTAGAGGCTTTTAATTAGGGTTTTAGGGTTTTGGTGAAGAAGGTGGAAGAAGGGCATTAATTTTATAAAATATATATATGTTGAAGATTTCAAAACAAAAGTATAGAAAAAAAATAAATAAAAGGCTATTGGTTGGCTGTTATTTGTTTGGAAAATCTGGCCGGTAGCCCGTTGACTGGCACTGGGAATGGCCCATATTGAACCCCGTTTTCTGATCCCACAACTTCCCACCTGCAAACGTAACACACCATTTATTATTTCAATTTTCTTGCCCCTCAAACCATATTATAAATAATAATAATTTAAATTATACGTCATATTTAAATTCAACTGATTAAGATATTTATTTTCGACCAAAATATAGTGAGTTCGAATCTTTACGTGATATGTTTATTACCTAAATTTAGTAACGAGGTGATGGAGTAAGATGAGGATTTCTAACTTAGCGAGTTCGTTCCCCGGACAAGCATGTACTCCATTACCAAATGGCATGAACGTATTGGGTTTTGGAGCTACCTGCAGAAAAAAGTTTTTAAGGTAAAATAGATTTTAAACCCTATAGTTCGTATTTAAAAATATATATATAATATGAAACTTTTTTTTTTCATAAAAGAAAAATGACAAGAAAAAGAAATTCAAAGCTTACCTCAAATCTAGAGGGATCAAAAATGTGGGGATCAGAGAAGTAGTCAGGGTTGTGATGAATATTCCTGAATAAGGGCATCACCTTCCAACCCTTTGGTATAAGGTACCCTAAACATTTAATATTAAAATTTTTTAATTATATTAAAATACCAACAATTAATTTAAGAAAAGGTCTGAATTACCAAAANATGGAATGTACCTTTGTATTCCACATCAACCACTGCCTCCCTAAAAGTGAAGGATATGATGCTAGCCATTCTCAAGCTCTCTAATACAACCTGAAAACAAATATATAAATTTATATTATTTGCTCGGTCTAGCCCGCAGTAACTCTAACTGTCCTAAGGTAGCGAAATTCCTTGTCGCATGAGTAGCGAAGTATATATCTTCAATTAAAAAAAATAAAAAACTTGAATCCACAATTCCACATGTTATTGGCATGAAAATGATTATTTTGGAATAGGTACTAACTCTACACAAGTTTTATAAATATACTATTTTTTTTAACACATGTGGGGTAGGGGATCGAATTCACAGCCTCTTAGTTGGAGATATATGTCAATTAACGCTGACATTGAGCTTCTTTTCTATGCTCTGCTCTTGAAAACTAAACTAGCTAAATATTGATTTATTTATTTTGTTAAATCAATTTTTTTTCAAAAATAAAATACACTTAAAATCTTTACATAATTTAAAAGAAAATCTAAAAAAAAAGGTTTCTAGAACCATCTTAAAACATTTAAAATAAAAGCTCATACAAATAGAATTAAAAATCTAGATGAAAAAGAAAACACATAATTTAAGAATAATACTTAACAAGTGGAATTGATCCGCTAAAAATTCTACCATTCTTTTTCTAAATAATAGTTTTAGGAAAAAATTCAATCGTTAAAAAAAATGCATTTTTATCTTCTGTTTAGTTCTTAAGTTTCAAAAAGTGACAGTTTGGTCCCGATCTTTAGAAAATACTTCTAAAATATCTTTAGAGTCAAACTTCCATTAGTGTTATTAACGGAATGCTAACGTGGCAATAGTAACATCGTTGAATTTTTGGTAAAAAGTAGAAGTTTTGTTTATTTTTGAAAAATAAAATTTGAATGACGAGGGAGGCATAAGAAAGGGGCAAAAACAAACATACCCTGTGAGTGAAGGGCATGTCCTTAATCTGAGCCCAAGACAGAGGAATCCTCCCCTCACAATTTGTTCTATAAATTTCCATCTGCTCTGCCTGCAAAAACGACCACGTTTTATCCAAAAACTCCCACGATTCATCATTGATTCTGTAAACAAACAAACAGAATTAGTGAATTTCATTTCGTTTCATAATCCATACCCTGACAGCGTGGAAGAGCTTGTGATTGTCGTGGAGATACTTGAGAATCCACGTCAGCGCACTCGCCGTCGTGTCCTGGGCGGCGAACAGAACTCCGATGATATTGTCGGCGATCTCATCCTCCGACAAAGTCTCCCCTTTTTCATCTCTGAAGCTCAGAAGATGCCCCACCAGATCTCTCTCCGATACCCTCTTCTCTCTCCTCTCCATAATTATCTCCCCCAGAATCTTCCTCAGCCTCTTCCTCGCCTGAAAAAATAATAATAAAAAAACTCAGAAAGTTTTTTTTTTGTTGGCTTTTTTTTTCTTTTTATTTCTCTTACCGATAATGCTTTTGAATATGCGGTTCCTGGAAGTTTTGTGGGAAAAGAGTTGTAGCCTTTGTCCAATATGCAGTAATTTTGTTTGAGCTTCTCGCTGTACTCACTTTCCAGTTGACCAAACACTGCTAGAATCCCCACCTGGAAAGAAAACTGTTGACGGAAACAAGAAAAGTTTGAGAGAAGATTCCAAATCATTAGATTTTTGATGATACAAAATTAGTGTTAAAAAGAAAAATAACTGCGGCTCAACTCAAAAGTTTAAAGTTGGTAGAAATTGTAAGAAGGAAGCACATGACACAATATGATCGTAAATCACTCCTCAATCCAAAAATTTAAGCGGTATTGTCAACAATTAGAAACTTCTAAGGGTTTTTATAGAATTTTGTATTCTTGTATGTATTAACTAATTTTAAAATGTTTTAAGAGAGATTCTTTGAGAATTGTACATTGTATTGGAAATTTAGGGTAAAAAAATGGATGGATGGAGGTGGACGGACCTTTTTCATTTGGAGGTAGGTGTTGATGACCTGGCCGGCGGCGGCCCAGGAGTCGGCGGCTGAAATGGCGGCGGCTTCAATGTCGGGAACAAGGTTTCTGAGGCGTTCAAGAGAAAGGGAGCTCTGGACGAGCTTCCGGAGGTGGGAATGGTAATTTCCCTGGTGGAAGAAGAGCGCCGCCGGGCCGATCATCGTCTCCTTACTTTTGGGGTACGTCGGCCGGAAAAAGCTGGCGTGAGTCACCAGAACGAACCGGGCCGCGGCGGCGCTGGCCAGCATCACGCAAGGACACCCCAAAATATTGGTCTTAAAGATTTCCCCATATCTGCCCAACACAACAAACCCAACAAAATTACCAAACAAAACCCAGTTACAATTTTAATCTTTGTTAACAAAAACTCATGAATTGTTTGTGTGCGTGTTTTTTTAAGGAACCTTCTCTGTTTTTCGGAGAAAAAAATGTTGGGGTCTTGAGAGTAGAGTTGCAGAGTTTCTCCAATCCATGGCAGCCCCATGGAGCCAGGAGGAAGCCTAGCAATTTTTTGGGCCTTTTTCTTCTTCATTCTCTTCAGGAATGGGAGTGAGAAAAAAGCAGAGAGAAAGAGGAGTATTGTGCACAGAGTAACAGAGAGAATCTCCATTTTGGAAAATGTAGCAATTTCTCTCTCTTACTCTGTTTTTTTCTCTCTCTAGAATTGTTGGGTTTGGGAGAAAGGAGATATAGTGAAAGGTGTGAGTTTTGTGGGAAAATTTTGAGAGTTTTTGTGTGTGTTTGTGAAGTTAGAGTGAGGAGAATGAGGAGTGGGGTGGGGGGTTTATATAGAAGAAAATGGAAGGTTTGGGGAGAGAGGATGGGAACAAGACAAATTTGAAAATTTTTGGTTTTTTAGGAGACAAAATCTGCCAAATGTTTATGCTGGATTTTGTATTACAACTATGTATATCAAAATAATAGGTATATATATATTCATAATTTTCTAGAGTCAACCTCATGATATATATTGAGTGTGAGCATTAATCGGACGGGTCGATCTTTAGTCAAAACTGCCACCGAAAACTGACCTAGTCGTGCAGTCTTACGTCGACTGACTGACCGATTGGTTTTGTTAGTTTTACCTTTTTTTTTCTTTCAAATTTATTTTGCATGTAAGAACTTTGCTGGTTTGGACGTTGCATCTGGAAGGGGCAGAGGAGCTATGGAGTCACCGCTGTGGGAAGAGTTGCCACTACGTATGGAAGGAAAAGAAGGGAGGGGGTTGCAACGTTGTGTACAGAAGAAGGAAAAAAAATAAGAAGTTGGGCGAAATCTAAATGACTAACGACGAAGAACTCCGAAGAAGAAAAAGAAGAAGATGGAAGTCTAGATTTTGAAGAAGAGAAGGAAATGTGTGGGCACCCACAAACGAACTTGAAAATAAAAGATTAAAAGTTTCAATTTTGAAACCCTAGAATAACATTAATCTTAGAATAAAACATCAAATATATTTTATATAATTACATCCTCGGTTAGTTATAAGATTTATTAGTGCCGACAGATCGATCAACTCTATTAGAACTAACCATCGATCGAACTCCATTTGAAACTGACCGATCGACTTTGATTTGGTCGTGGTTTCTTAGATACAATTGTCCACCCCTATGGTAAATCCAATAATACATATTGATTATTGGTACGAGCGTAACTCATCAAAATAGTACTTACCTTCGTAAAGATGGGAGGTTCAAACCCTCCTTTTCCTATTTTGAACTATATCTTCCGATTTTTATTGTCAAGAAACTTGTAGGGTTATAATATCTTAATTAATTTATACCATCGAACTTTCTTTACCTTCTTAACTTGTCCTAATGACCAGTGTTAAGTATTTTAATACAGAGGATGTAAAAAAAAAAAATATTTTTTAATATATAGAAATAACCCATTTTATTATTTTTCTTTTACAAAGATGACTAGAGCGGAGGAATTGGAGTTAAAAAAAAAAAGGTTTTCATTTTAATTTTTCTTTAGTCGTCCTATCTTTTACTATTTTGATCCTTTCATGATCCATGGATATTTTTTCTTTTTTTTTTTTTTTGAAAACCATGATCCATGGATTTGATATTGGGAAAATGACCCTTTTCTTAATTAGGTTGATTGATTGGGATGGAATTCAATTCAATCACATTTGACTTTGAGGAGGGAAAATTAATCCTTCAATGAAATACATATGATCTAGAAAAATCAAGAATGCTTTGACAAAGTTAAGAAAAAAAATATATTTTTCTTTTCGAGAGAATTCTCCGACCAATAGTAATATGAGATCCTTCTCATATTACAATGTGGGACCTAATAATAAAATAATAAATTAACCCCTGAAAATATAAATAATTAAAACTTTTCAAAGTAAATAAAATCAATTTTATTATATTTCTTTTATATATAAAAAAGACAGAAATGGATGAATGTAGATGGTCCAAAAGAAACATGAACATTATTGCCGTCCAAACATTGAGAATCCAATCCCCAAATTCAATGGGTGTCCACAGCATTTTCCCAAGGGATTATTGTAACCCAATTTCTCACCAATCCCATTTTAAGATTGATTCAAATTTATGATATGATATATTTTAATTTGTATGGTGTATCTCTGATAATGTTTTTGGTGGTAATGATTTAGATTTCATTAGTTAAAAAGTTTTTATCAAAACTCATTTAGAATATCATGAGCACTTTCGTAAAATATAGATTCATGAATTAAATTTATTAGATCTCGTATGATTTAATACAATTTATATGACTCGATTACATAGTTCAATTTGTAACATTCATTTACGAGTTTAGGTCAATATTTTTATTTAAATCTATGGTACTAAATTAAAAGTTATATTGACTTATTTAGATTATGGTTGCTTTGTCTCGTGATTTATATTGTAATGAATTAAAATAAATATGTTAATTCTATTGTTTTGTTGGTCAAAATTTGTTGGGTTAGTAAAGCGTTTTTCTTGGAAATCTTACCCAACTTCAAAACTTGTCTTTCAACTTATCTATTCATCATCTTGGTCCAATTGAAAGGGGTGTGTTGTGTAAAAAAAAAAATTAAATTAAATAAAAACTCTTATTATTTTTTTGTCAAATTGAAATGAAGTACACACTATTAAAAAATAAACATAAAAATAAATGGGATGTTTATACAACTTTAGTTTATTTTGTTTCACTGTATTTTTAAAATATTTATTTTAATCTACGTATTTTCAACTTTGATTCATTTTAGTATATATATTTTTAAAATGTTTCTTTTGTACATGAACTTTATAAGAATGATCAATTTTTTCCCTTAACTTATTTTTTGTCTTATTTTTTCTATCACAATTTCAACACGACATTACATTCATTATATTTCTTGAAATGTAACCATGATTTTATATTAAATGGTTTATCGTTGTGTGTAGAATTTTTGTTAAAATATTTCAAATAAAGACCAAGATTGTCACTTTTTAAAAAACATGAACGATCGAACTCACGATCTCTTAGTTAGAGATATATACCAATTAATACTATGGTTAAAAAAATAAAATAAAATAATTTATTTTTGGTGAGTAACAACCGGTAATAATTTATTTACCCCAACTCCAATTCTGTTCTTCAACTCATTGATTCATCTCTCTAATAATGAAAATGGGGTGTTCTTATTTGTTTCAAGTTCAGAAGAGAAGATTTGCCTCCATATATATCAAAGAGAGGTCTTTTTTTTCCCTCCCTTGATTCTGATTTCCACTGTGTCCCAAAAGTTGGTGATAACGAAAGAGACGATGCCAACGTGAATATAACTTAACTGATTAAAACAATCATCTCCAACGAGAAGGTTATGAATTCTCATCTCACATATTATAAAAAGAAGAAGAAGGAAGAAGAGGATGGCTGTGAAAATCAAATAAATTTGAAATACTCAAAACAAATTCTCATTTAGAATATCTAAATTATATATTCATCAACATTTGTATAGTTCGGAAAAAATTGATAAAATATAAAAATATCATTAATATGGGCATAATATTACAATTTAATAAATTTTTACTTCATGAAATTTGTATTTCCTTATTTTAAATATTTATTATGATTTTTTTTAAATTTTATAACTTTTTAAAAACTATATCCATCCTACCTCGACATTTTATTAATACTTTTATCAATATCAACATTTAAAACCTTGGTTTTCATAGATGATAAACCAACTTTTCTTTCAAAATTTAGCAAAAAGTTGATTAGTCGTAATAAATTTAGTTCAAACAAAGTACCTCTCTAACACCATGTTGAATTAAAAATCACCTCAAAAGCTTAAACTAATAAGTCACGGTAAATTTATTATTATTATTTTATAAGTACCTTTAACTAAAATGGGAAGGTAAGAAACATGTTTGGAATTAGATGGCTTGTTTGTGAAAAATTGATCACTTCATGATTAGTTTTCTTGAAACTTCTATAATGTGGACTGCAAATTTACCCTTTTTTATTTTTCCTTTCCCCTTCACAATTTTGGGAGTAAAAAAATTGAAAGCGATTGTCACACACATTATAGCTACAAGTCTTATGACGGTTAGATGTAAGGTGAAAATAACATATTGCTATCTCTCTCTCTCGTATATTTAACTGTGATGAAAGTGGCAATAGAGAGAGTTTTAATTGATACAAGAGTTACCAGAAAGAAATAAATAAAAGATAGAGATAGAGAGGTTATAACGGTTAAAAAAAAAAAGGTCTCCCAACAATCATGAAAGTAGCAATCAGGTGTTTCACTCGTCAAAACGCAAGTATTAAAACTAATTTGAAAGACAACGACATCAGCAATATATTCCAGAATCATCCTTCAATAGACTCCTGCAGCTATCAGTCGTATTCATTAGCAATACAATGATCTAACTAATCAGCTAGTCATCCTTTTATATTGTGACGTTTGTAATTCTTTTTTAACCGTTGTTACGTCCCTTATCTAATTCAATGTGAGATTCTTAATATGTCCCCCTCAATATCGTGGTTATTTTGGCTCGTCGATCTTGGCCGAATCTCATTTTTTGACCGAATACTCATCTTTAAAATCGTAGTTCAATCCCCATCCTACCCTTATTATTAAAAAAAAAATTAATTTACACATGGAAAAAAGAAAATGAATGGGCAAAATGGGTCCTTTTTGATGTCCTTTGCCCAAAGGAGGGAGGAAATGGAATTTAAGCAGACAACCTCTACCGTATGCCGTCCTAGCATTTATTGCCTAAAAGGTTAGGTTTGGTTGGTACATCATTTCCTTTTTTTAGAATAAATATTTTTTCCTTTTCAATCTTTTCCTCTTTCCTCGTTTCGGGATCATTTCCTCTGACGTTGAGATCGAAAAATATATGTTTTAACTAATCGAGCTAGATTGATTTTAGAACTATTTGATATGTATAACTCAAACCTACTTTTTCTCGAACTTTTAAAAGTAGTCTTTTTAATATATATTTTTATATTTTTTTAATATTTTTCACTCGTTTGAGTGATTATAAAGATGGTGTTAAAAGTAAAAAAATGGGGAAATTGAATTGAATTTAATAACATAATTGATAATTTTTTGGGGGATCACGTGGAATGGGACCCAAAATACAGCGGCGGTGCATCAGGGCTCACACATTCTCATCTTCCATTCCCGTTGTGATCTTCTGTTCTTAAAGATCCCGTGGTGAAGCTCACCCACGTCAGCCCTTCTTTAGTGGGCCCACGTCGGTGCCCAACGTACGGAGAGAGCAACACGTGGAAGC